TTAATGTACAAGATTCTCTCTCTCTCTCTCTCTCTCTCTCTCGTTGTCTAACCTAAAATATGATCGATCGACTTTTTTATTTGTAGATATAAAATAAAACATTTTCATGCATTGCTCATGGCATAAAAAATTTTTCAAAATACTCATTTCCCTTGATAGAATTGGACAAAGATGTTCGCCCTTGGGAATTGTATAACAACATAGAAGCGGAAGTGCGAAACATGATGGCATCATTGAGAGCGGTCTCAGAATTGCAGAATCCAGCGATTAGAGATAGACACTGGAGAGAATTAATGGCTGAAACGAAGGTAATTAACACGGTCCACGGCATCGTGGAAAAACTTATTTGTTATTAAAATTAACATCGAAATAAACGAATTACTCCTCTTATTCTTAAATCCATGTTCAATGTGAACTAGGTCTTGGGTTAACTATAGATCGAGTCTTAAGTTTTTAAGCCTTGGGTTTAATTACAAGCGTTACAACACTGGTGAAAACTGTGCAACTGTTCTGATACTGAAACAAAGAACAAACTAAAAACCTTAATATTAACAGACGAGGGGAATCGAGTTACTAGCGAGATAATTAAATGATGAAAATGAACATGTTTATCGTGTATGTCGGCAGGTGGTATTTATCATGACCGACACTACCACGTTGGAGGATTTATTAAAATTGCAATTGCACAAATACGAAGAAGAAGTTAAAAATATCGTGGCTAAATCGGTAAAGGAAATGGCGATGGAAAAAGTGTTGAAAGAATTGCACGATACATGGAGCACTCTCGAATTTGATAAAGAGCTACACGAACGTACGAAATTGTACGTTCTTAGAATCGACGAGCAAACTATCGAAACCCTTGAAGAGAATCAGGTAATTTTTTATGATTCTCTTTTGTTAAATGAATAAAGTAAGAGGTAAAGATGGGAAGAGATCAACTTTCACAATTTTACAATCTCTACAATTTTATTCTACCTTTAATTTTTATCGATTTTTACAAACTGTATAGGTGCAACTACAAAATATGTTAGGCTCCAAATTCGTTGGATACTTCTTGGAGGAAATTCTCGATTGGCAAAAAAAATTAAGCACAGCGGATGCGGTGATCAATGCATGGTTCGAAGTTCAACGGGCATGGATACATCTCGAAAGTATCTTCATCGGTTCTGAAGATATTAGAAGCCAACTTCCGGAAGAATCGAAACGATTCGAAAAAATTGACAAAGAGTTTAAAGTAATTCTAAATAAGTAATTACACTTTTGCTAAATTTTTTTTTCCTCGCTTTTCCTTCCAACGTTAAAAGAAATACTTTGAAAAAGTTCATTTATCATTTAAATATATATTTTTTAAGGAATTACTGAAGGAAATGATGAGCAATTTGAATATCATAAAAGCAACGAATCGACCAAAAATTTTAGAGAAACTGGAATATTTAGAATTTCAATTAAATCTTTGCGAAAAAGCTTTAGCAGATTACTTGGAACAAAAAGATTAATTTACCCAAGATTTTATTTCATTTCCGCGGCAGATTTACTCGATATTTTAAGCAATGGTTAGAAAACCTCTGATAATTCCTCCATCATTTTTTTTTACTTACTTTCATTCTTCATTCAACATTTTTTCCCACGAATGATCAGTATGTTATTAAATTCAAAACAAACTTATTTAAAGTAATTATTAAATTTTAATGAAACGAAAATTATCGAAATTAATAATAATAAATTATTATTCTCCCAAGGAAACGTACCTGAATTAGTCTGCAGACATTTGTCAAAACTGTACGATTCTATTGCAAAATTAATCTGGAAAATGGAACACGACAAACCAACGAAACAAGCGATAGTCATGATCGCCAAAGATGGCGAACATATGGCTATTTATGGGAATTGCGATTGCAGTGGAAAGGTGTTTCATCTCTTTTCTATCCATTTCTTTTTTTTTTACGTAAATATACACTCGCAAGAGAATCGCACAAGAGAGAAAGATCAAAATAATCTCATCATTTTGAAAATCCGTCAAAGTGAAATCACGTTTGAACTTTTAAGGTGGAGATTTGGTTGAACAACGTGACAGATGCGATGAAAAGATCCGTGAGGTTTCATATATCTCAGGCTGTGTTCACTTACGACGAGAAACCACGAGAGCAATGGATTTTCGATCATCAAGCGCAACCCGCATTATGCGGTAGTCAAATTTGGTGGACGACGGAGGTGAATATGGCTTTCACGAGGTTGGAGGAAGGTTTCGAAAACGCGTTCAAAGATTATCAGAGAAAGCAGATAAATCAGTTGAATGCATTGATAACGATACTCTGCGGAGATTTGATCGAAAGCGATCGAAGAAAGATCATGACGATTTGCACGATTGACGTGCACGCGAGAGACGTCGTAGGGAAAATGATCACGATGAAGGCGGAAAGCTCTTCCAGTTTCCAATGGCAATCCCAGCTAAGACACAGGTGAAAAATTTCAATCGTTTCTCCTTGGATTATTCTAACCTCAAATTTCAACTTTTAGATGGGACGACAAAGTTGGCGATTGTTTCGCCGATATTTGCGACGCTTCGTTCAAATACGATTACGAATATTTGGGCAATGTTCCACGATTGGTGATAACACCATTGACAGACAGATGTTACATCACTTTAACGCAATCCTTGCATCTCATAATGGGTGGAGCACCAGCTGGCCCAGCTGGAACCGGGAAAACGGAAACCACGAAAGATTTGGGAAGGGCATTGGGCCAAATGGTTTACGTATTCAATTGTTCCGAGCAAATGGATTACAAGGTAATCTGTACTGTTCATTCGGAAAGAAGTCTCACACGAGCAAGAGGGATTCTTCGTTAGGATCGCCTATGATCCCCAGATGATCAGATGCTTTGCTAACAATCTTGACACTACGCATTATATAGTAGCAGAAGAGTTATAATTCGAATATCCAAAATCGTAAAAATTATATTCATTTATGAATTTAGGATAATCATCTAAGACTGGGATATTTTCGAAACTATTATTTATTTTGATATTAATTACGATTCTATACTAATGCATCAAGATTTAGATTTAGATTGTCGTTTTGAATCAGCATGTGTAGACAAATATCATGGTAGAAACAAAAACAATGCGTTTCCTTTCAAATTAACCAATCGGACTCGCATTCCTTCCGTAAGACTTCTTTCCACCAATGAACAAACAAGAAAAATCGAATATGGAAATTTGTTTTATATATATGGTAACACTTGTTGCCTCCTTTCAGTCTTGTGGAAATATTTACAAAGGCCTCGCACAAGTAGGGGCATGGGGTTGTTTCGACGAATTCAATCGTATTTCGGTGGAAGTATTATCGGTGGTTGCCGTGCAAGTGAAATCGGTTTTAGACGGGGTGAAACACCGTAAACCGACATTCTTATTCTTTGGAGAGATACTTAATATCGTCCCCACCGTTGGAATGTTCATTACCATGAATCCTGGTTATGCTGGAAGGACGGAATTGCCGGAAAATTTGAAAACTTTATTCAGGTATCATGATTTAAATATCTCTAATTGTAATCTCGCATAACTTCTCGTCACTCTCGCTTTTTAAACGTTGAACCAAATTACAATTTTTGTTCGAAAAATTGTTTTTTAATATTATCAAAAACAAAGGAGATATAGCATGGGTGATGAAGTTAGGTAGGATTACTTGTGTAGATATAATTTTATCTCGTCAGAAAATTATTATCACCATTTATTCATTTTACAAAGGCCTTGCGCCATGGTAGTTCCAGATTTTGATTTAATTTGCGAGATAATGCTGGTAGCAGAAGGTTTTCAAGAAGCTAGATTATTGGCAAGAAAGTTTATTACGTTGTATCAGCTTTGCCGAGAACTTCTATCGAAGCAAGATCACTACGATTGGGGTTTACGAGCGATTAAGTCGGTTCTAGTAGTTGCTGGTAAATTGAAGAGAGGCGATCCCGATAGAGCCGAGGATCAAGTGTTAATGAGAGCCCTCAGAGATTTCAACATTCCGAAAATTGTGACGGACGATGTACCCGTGTTCATGGGCCTTATCGGTTAATTTTCTTTTATATCTCGATATCACGTTTTCACGTAATTTAATAATAGTTTTTTTTTCATTTTTTATATCTATTTTATATCGTTTAGGGGACTTGTTTCCTGCTTTGGACGTACCGCGAAAAAGAGATTTCGATTTCGAGATGACGATTCGACAGTCTATCTTGGATCTTAAATTGCAACCAGAGGATGGTTTTATATTAAAAGTAAGAAATACATTCAAAGCAACAAATGGAATACATTGATGTAAAATATTTTTTTAATTCTATCTTAAAAAATTTTATTATTAAAATTATTAAACAGGTTGTCCAGTTAGAAGAATTGCTTCATGTTCGTCACTCAGTTTTCATCGTCGGATTTGCCGGAACTGGAAAAACCGAAGTTTGGAGAACGCTTAATCGAACGTATTTTAATAGTCAATTAAAACCGTATTACAACGATTTGAATCCGAAAGCTGTTACGAACGACGAACTTTTTGGTGTGATCAATCCAGCGACGCGAGAATGGAAAGATGGGTTGGTATCTCTATCTTCTTTATGCGAAAAACAATCGATTAATCGATCAATTTCATCAGATTGTTCTCCGTGTTAATGAGAGATCAGGCAAATATGACGGGACCCGATCCTAAATGGATTATTTTTGACGGTGATATAGATCCAATGTGGATCGAGTCGTTGAACACTGTGATGGATGACAACAAAGTATTGACTTTGGCTAGCAACGAGAGAATCGCTTTAACCCCGTCCATGAGACTTCTATTCGAGATTTCCAATCTTAGGTAACAGTTCTTTTTAAATCATAGCTACCTATTTTCTTTTTTCTTTTCTTTTTCTCTCTTCGATTCAATCATGTTTAATATCATGTTCGAAAAATTCGTAGAACTGCAACACCGGCTACCGTTTCCAGAGCTGGAATTCTTTACATAAATCCCCAAGATATTGGCTGGTATCCGTAAGTTTATTATTTATTACAATTCTCTCCTTTTATCGATTGAAAATCGACAATTTCAATGAAATGAAATGTAATTCGAAATATTTGTAATAATTTAATCGTTTTACAGATTTGCGATTAGCTGGATAGAAACGAGAGACCCAGCAGAGAGAGCGAATTTAACCATTTTATTCGATAAATACGTGCCGACCCTGATCGAAGTGACAAAATATAGATTTAAAAAAATTACGCCGTTACCAGAAATCTGTCACGTCGAGATGCTTTGTAATTTGTTGGATTTCTTTCTAGTTAAAGAGAATGTAACACCTGATTCTCCGAAGGAATGGTATAAATGAAAGTGACGAATCATTATTTAAACTCAAATCTCTCTCAACCTGTTTCTTTTTAAACAGGTACGAATTGTACTTTGTTTTTGCGTGCATTTGGGCATTTGGGTCGGCCACTTTTCAAGATCAATTGATCGATTGGCGAAACGAGTTCAATAAATGGTGGCAAAATGAATTTAAAACTGTCAAATTTCCCACCGGTGGAAATGTATTCAATTTTTTCATCGAAAACGAACGAAAAAATTGGTTCCTTGGACCGAAAAAGTGAAAAGTTTTGAATTGGATACTGAAATACCGTTACAAGTTCGTTTTCATCTTTATTATTTTTTTAAATATAGAATTTTTTTTAAATGAAAATTTTGTTTTTGATATTTGACAGTACGTAGATGCACAACGCATTATCATATTTTAAAAATTTTTCGATTCGATACTTCAATTTCATTTTACTGTTATAGAATACTTTAGTCTCGACCGCTGAAACAGCACGTTTATTCTTCTTCCTGGATGTTTTTGTACAAGAACGTGTGCCAATAATGCTGATAGGCGCAGCTGGATCAGGAAAGAGCGTGATCATGGCTGAAAAACTTGCAGCTCTTCCTGATACTTATAATATTGCAAACGTGCCCCTTAATTACTATACCACATCTGGTAATAAATATTTACAAAAGATTATTTCATTCTAATTTTAAAAAAATTTCTAAATTCCTATTCGATGTATTGCACGTTCAAGAAATGCTGCAAAGAATAATGGAAAAACATTGGAAAAAAAGACCGGTAGAAATTTTGGGCCACCTGGTATGAAAAAATTGATCTATTTCATCGATGATATGAACATGCCCGCAATCGATACTTATGGAACCGTCCAACCTCACACACTCATTAGACAACACATCGATTATAATCACTGGTACGTATTGGAAATATTTAACATGTGTTTTGATACTAGTCCTATATGCCATTTGCTTGATCGATTTTACTTCTATTTTGAAATAATAATTTGATAATAGGTATGATAGAACGAAATTAACGTTGAAGGAAATTCAAAATACGCAATATGTATCATGTATGAATCCTACTGCCGGTAGTTTCACGATTGATCCTCGTTTGCAAAGACATTTTGCCGTTTTCGCTGTTAGGTAAATTAAAATTAACGGATATTCGTATCTTTAATACAACTTAGAACAACGTAAATATATCATATTATACGCAGTTTCCCAACCGAAGACAATTTAACAGTGATCTACAGTCAAATGTTGGAGCAACATCTGATGAATCCTTTGAATAAATTTAACGTAGCGTTGCTAAAAGTTGCCGATTCATTGTTGCACGCAGCATTGTTTTGTCACAACAGAATTTCATCGATATTTTTACCAACAGCTGTTAAATTTCATTATCTATTTAATTTACGCGATATTTCAAATATTTTCCAAGTAAGATTTGTTTTTTTAGAATAATTATTATTTATTCGAACAACATATCGTTGTAATAATAATAATCAACTTAATTCTAGGGTCTACTTTTTGCAACCGGTGAAACTGTCCCAACAGTAAATCATTTGATCAGATTGTACGTTCACGAAGCTACAAGAGTATATTCCGATAAATTGATCAGTGCCGAGGACAAAAAAGTATTTCAACAATTGCTAAGAGACTCGCTTCGTAAAAATATTGATGCAAGTGTTACGACTGTTTAAATATGATATTATATGTAAAAAGAAAAAAAAAAAAAAAACGAAAAATTCGTTTTATTGTATACATTGCAGGAATTGGATGAAAATTTTATATATGCCGAACCACTAATTTTTTGTCATTTTGCCGAAGGGATCGGTGAACCAAAATATATGCCAATAAAAGATTGGCCGCAATTAACGAAGTTATTGGATGAAGCTTTGGTTAATTATAATGAATTGGTAATATTTGAAATAATATAATAACAAAAAATTATGGAAAAAGATTATAAGATTATCGGAATTTTTTAATCGAATAATGTTCATTAATATTCATCTTGGAATAGATAGCCGCGATGAATTTAGTTTTATTCGAAGATGCCATGTATCAAGTCTGTCAAATAAATCGTATTCTGGAAGCACCAAGAGGAAACGCATTGCTCGTAGGGGTTGGGGGAAGCGGAAAACAATCTCTTTCTTGCCTTGCATCTTTTATTGCGGGTTTAGAAGTAAGCGGGTTTTGAAAAAAGTATTTGTTTCAAATCTCGGGCATCGTGTCCGATTTTATCATTTTTTTCAATCAATTTGTATATTATGATATGATTAAAAATATCAACTAATAATTTACCGTTAGTTACTAACGGTATTTGAAAAAGTTCTCTACGCTTTATAAAAATAAACAGTTGATTGATTTTATATTTTGTAAATTTATTAGTAAAATTGTAATATTAAATATGATTCAATTTTTAAATTAAAATTAATTTATCCTTTGCTTTTTAGGTTTTTCAGATACAATTAAAAACAGGTTATTCTATGATTGACTTAAGAACAGATTTATCCACTTTATATTTAAAATCTGGATTGAGATCAATTGGGATTACTTTCTTAATGACCGATTCTCACGTTGCCGATGAGAGATTTTTAGTTCTTATAAACGATATGCTTGCTTTTGGTGAAATTTCGGAATTATTTGCGGATGATGAAGTGGATAATATTGTGAATGCAGTTCGAAATGAGGTATATATTTTTATTAATAAACAGAGCTTTAATAATTTTATATTTATTTCAATCCTTATAGGTATATTTATAATCTTTATAATATTTATATTCGTTTAATGTATATTTTTTTATTTAAATAAACATATCCCGACAAAAATATTCCGGAAACTGCATTTATTTCACTTGAATTTTTGCATAGCATGCCATGTCGATGATTTATTATATCATAGGTAAAACAAAGCGGTTTGGTGGATACAAAAGAAAATTGTTGGAAGTTTTTCATCAATAGAGTTCGATATAAAATAAAATGCGTTCTTTGTTTCTCCCCCGTCGGAACAACTCTTCGAAACAGAGCTAGACAGTTTCCAGCAATCGTGAATAATACTTCGATTAATTGGTTCGAAGGTTGGCCGGAAGATGCTTTAAAATCCGTTTCCACCAGATTTTTGGGGGTAAGATGATTTAACACATCTTTGCTCAAACATTAATATATATTTAATCGAATAAATATCGATACGAATTAAATTCTAATTACATTTTTCTAATGGTATTCAAATTATCTAAATTATTGAATAATGATGTTTCTAAAATATTCTGCTTATTTATAGAAAATTTATATTTGATAATTGATAATTATATGTTTAATACATGTTAATACAAAACAAATGAAATCATTTATATATATAATATGTTTTATGTATATTTTTTTATTTTTATTTTAGTAGATAATAAAATTAATTCGATATCGGAATCGTTTAATGAGCGCATAAATAGAATAAATATAGATAAGAAAAACTAAATATAGATAGAATAGTTGAAGAAAGATAGAGATAGAATAAAAATACTGAAATCAACATTATCTTTAGAGTATCGTAAATTAAACACAAAAAAAAGGATAGAAAATAGTGGAAAAAGATAGAGATAGAATAAGAATTGATCGCTAACGTCATCTTTCGAGTATCAAAAATATCTTTTCAACAAATTATCTTTCCAAAAATTTTCAAAAGATGGCGTTAATTCTCAATTTTTATTCTATTCTAGTTATCCTCTCTTTAAAGAAATGTTTATAGTATTTGAGAAAGATGGCATTAGCGATTAATTCTTATTAATTGTTTTCAATGCATAAGCACGGACGAAGATGTTTATAGGGATATTAATCGAATATACTTTCATCGTTTCTCTTTCAAATTACAATATGTTTCATTTTTATTTTAGCATTCAATATTTACGTTATATTAAATGCTATTCGCATATATATAGAATGTAAAATAAATATAAAATATAAATATCACTTCCTTTTTTTCAAGTAAGCGCAAAATTACAAATTTATATTTATGTATATGTGTATAAAATATATATCGCTTTCTCTTTTTTATGCTATTTGAGCACAAAATTGCAAATTTAACAAGTTTTTGTAAACTCATTTTATTAGTCATGCTTGATTAATCAAAAAATACGATCGTTATAAGTTTATTAATGGATTAATAAATTAACTCCACTTCCTTAATTAATTAATATTCGATATTATAATCTCAAAATTAGATTTCGTTTTTACCGAACAAGTTTCGAATTATTAACTAATGATATTCGATTAAACTTTATTAGATTAATATATGATTTCTTCTACTATTATTTTTTTATTATCATTTTTCACAATATATTCTAATTGCAGGAACTAGAAGACTTACCAAATGAATATAAACCATCGGCCTCTTTGTTCATGTCATACGTGCATACTAGCGTTGACGAGGTTTCTTTGCTTTATTTACACAATGAGAGAAGGTACAATTATACGACTCCAAAAACATTTTTGGAACAAATTGCTTTATATTCGAAGCTACTCGTGGAGAGAACTTATGATGTGAAATCCATGATCGAAAGATTAAATAATGGATTGGATAAATTAGAATCTTGTGCTGGCCAAGTAATGATTTCATTATTAATATTGAATAATTGTCAATAATGAATGAATTTGTGCGAAAATATTTATATTTCATTATATATTGTAAATTGAATTCAATTTAACCAAACTAATATAACTATATATAGATTTTAATTGGTAATAGGTAAGCGAACTAAGAGTTGTCCTAGCAGTTCAAGAAGTCGAATTGAAAAAAAAGAATGAAATTGCAGACAGAATTCTTGCTGAAGTTCGATTTGAGAATACGAAAGCGGAAGCGGAAAAAGCGATTGGTAAAACTTTATTTCTTTAAATCGTAATCATTTATATTCGCAACAATTCAGAAAGATTTATCTGTATGATTTGTTACCTCTACTTCAAGAAAATACTTCTAAGAAATGATCATACAATGAAAATGATTTTTTATCCGCAGTGTCCGAGGAAGAGGCAAAAGTAGCGGAAATAAAAGAAACAGTAGCTGAAAAACAGAGACGATGCGATGAAGATTTAGCGAAAGCAGAGCCTGCAGTACGGCAAGCTGAAGCTGCTCTGGATACGCTAAATAAAGTAAAAAAGAATAAATTCATAATTATTAAATTAAACTTAAATAAATATCTGAAATATTTAAAAATATGAACAAAATTGAACACGATTCCAGAGTAATTTAACGGAATTGAAAGCTTTTGTAACGCCACCAGAACAAGTAGCGATGGTGGTACAAGCTGTTTTAGTATTATTCTCTCCGAGGGGTGTAATACCGAAAGATAGAAGTTGGAAAGCGTGTAAAGCGATGATGGGTCACATCGACACGTTTCTCTCGCAACTTCGTAATTACGACAAAGAAAATATTCATCCTGAAGTGGTGAAAGCTATACAACCTTATATCAATCATAAAGGTTTTATATAACATATAGGATAATTATAGGATAACATATAGCTTTAAAAATATGGGAACATCCAGTTGACGAAATTTTTTGCAAAAGAAAATGTTGCTAGAAGAAATTGTTTCAGAAATTTTCAATTGTTTAACAAATGTTTCCACAAGGATAGTTTAGGATATCTTATATAAATATAGAAATGCATAAAAGCAATAAAAAAAAAAAATAACAATCATATGGTATTTTTAGATTTTGACCCCGAGATTATTGTTACGAAATCGTTAGCAGCTGCAGGTCTTTGCAGCTGGGTGAGGAATATAATGGTTTTCCATTATATTAATGAAACTGTAAAACCATTAAGAGCTGCGCTTGCACAAGCCAATGCCGAGCTAAAAGCTGCTATGGATCATTTGAATGCCTTGAGAACTCGATTAGCGGTAAATTTTTGTTCATTTTATATATTATCATAAATGATTTTATCATGTGTGTAAAAGATAACTATATTATCATTATAGGAATTACAAAAAGTGCTCGACATTCTAGGAGAAAGAATGAATGCAGCTTTAGCTGAAAAACAAAAATGTCAAGATGAAGCTGATGCCACTGCTTTAACGATCGATCTCGCAAATAGATTGGTAAACGGTTTAGCATCCGAGAAAATTCGATGGAACGAAGAAGTAGAAATGTTAATTTTTATATACCAAATATTCGAATGTTTATATATAAACGTACTTTTAATAAGCATAATTATAAGATGAGAAACACAATTTGTCTTAGGTTGACGAATTCATTCGTAATGGTGCCGGGCGATGTTCTTCTTGTAACTGCATTTTTATCATACATGGGATGTTTTACTCGGAAATATAGACATGATTTAATGTTCGATCATTGGTTGCCGTTCTTGGAAAAGTTGGAAGTGAAAATACCGAGAACTACCGATTTAGATATCCTAGCTTTATTGACCGATGATGCACAAATTGCACAATGGAATAACGAAGGTGAATATATTTTTTTATACTTTTTCATATACTATATACTAACAAACGTAATTTTAGAATAGATTTTAAAATTGAAAAGACATCAATCATTTATCGATGTGTATAATTAATAATGAGATATTTTTCAAGGATTACCATCCGATAGAATGTCTTCCGAAAATGCAACAATTTTAATGAATTCAACAAGATGGCCTCTAATGATAGATCCACAGCTGCAAGGACTTAAATGGATAAAGAATCGATATGGCGAAGAATTACAAGTGCTCAGACTTACACAACCAAATTATTTGCATTTGATTGAAATTTCTATCGCGAATGGTGGGATTGTTTTAGTTGAAAATATAATGGAAACTATCGATCCTGTTTTAGATCCGGTTATTAAAAGAGATCTAATAAAGAAAGGAAAGTATGTATTTATCATTATTATGTTATGTTGTAATATAACTTGCTTATTAAAAAAAACATTATAGTAACAATAAATTTTAGTTTTAACTTATTATTAAATCTTAAAGTTCACTCATTAAAGTTCACTCAGTCTTATTATGTGCTAATATAAATAAAAAATATTTATTTATTTATTATTTTATTATTTATAATAAATATTTTTGAAACTCTTATTTTTGAAAGGGCGATAAAAATTTGGGATAAGGAAGTAGATTATAATCCTCATTTCCGGCTAATTATACAAACAAAGTTAGCTAATCCTCATTATAAACCTGAAATACAAGCACAAACCACTCTTATCAATTTTACCGTAACAAAAGATGGTTTGGAGGAACAACTTCTAGGAGATGTTGTGAAAGCCGAAAGGCCTGATTTAGAATCGAAAAAAGCTGAATTAACTACTCAACAAAATACCTTTAAAATTACTTTGAAAGCATTGGAAGACGATCTATTGCACAGGTATGATTAATTATGATTTTCTCAATAAAAATGAGAATAAATGTTTTTGATAAAATTCTATTCATATTATTCTTTCAAACAAATTGTAAAGTGATACAAAATTTTAAAAATATATTTCAAGATGCATTTTTTTTTTTTTTAAGATTGTCGGCTGCGGGACCAGATATTTTGAGCGATGTCGATCTGGTAATCAATCTTGAAACCACAAAGAAAACTGCAGCAGAGATAGAAATAAAAGTAGCAGAAGCTAAAATAACCTCGATAAAGATAGACGAAGCTCGAGAAATTTATCGTGTCGTCGCGGCCAGAGCCAGTCTTTTATATTTCGTTTTAAACGATTTGTACAAAATAATATGCTCTATCAGTTTTCTTTGAAAGCTTTCAGCGTTGTCTTCCTAAACGCTATTAAATTCGCAGAAGCTTCGGACGAAATATCTAAACGCGTGGATTTCTTAATCGATAGTATTACTTTTCTAGTTTTCACTTACACAAGTAGAGGTTTATTTGAAGCTGACAAATTGACTTTCCTCACTCAAATGACTATTCAGGTACATCTTTTCAATAATCGATTCCATTTTTATAAAAATCTTGTGAAAAGATGTAAAATTAATTTTTTTCGAATGATAATTATTATTAAATGCAATTTTGTTACAATCATTTTATTTATAGATTTTTATGGAAGCAAAAGAAATAACACAATCGGAACTTGATTTTCTATTAAAATTTCCACATATGGTCGATTTAGTCAGCCCTGTAGATTTTTTAACAGATGTTGGCTGGGGTGGAATCAAATATTTGAGTCAAATGGATGATTTTCAAAATTTAGAAAAAGATATAGAAGGTGCTGCGAAAAGATGGAAAAAATTTGTGGAATCGGAAACACCGGAACGAGAAAGTTTTCCACAAGATTGGAAAAATAAGACTGCTCTTCAAAGATTATGTATCATGAGATGTCTTAGATTAGATCGTATGACTTATGCAATCAGGTTCGTTTCTCTATTAATATTTTTTATTTGATACCTTCCCCCCCCCCTCCCCCCTTTAACTTATCCTTGTTTCATTATCTCGTATTTGCATTTATTTAGATGTTTCGTGGAAGAAAAACTTGGTTCAAAATTTGTTGAGTCCAGATCTCCTCCTTTTCATAAATCCTTTGAAGAGATGAGTTCTATCACGCCTGTATTTTTCATTCTCTCTCCTGGTGTTGATCCTTTAAAAGTAAAATACTCGTTCTATGTATACGCACAATACAACCATATTTATCCAATATTGTATAACAATGAAAGCAATAAAAATTCAGGACGTAGAAAATTTGGGAATACAATTAGGTTTCACTTTCGGAGGTAGAAATTTCCATAATGTATCACTGGGTCAAGGTCAAGAACCCGTGGCTGAAGAAGCATTAGAATTATCGGCTCGTGAAGGTCATTGGGTAATTTTACAAAATATCCATCTTGTGAAGAAATGGTTACCTGATCTGGAAAAGAAAATGGAACAATGTGCAGAGAGTCCTCATGATGATTATCGATTGTTTATCAGCGCGGAACCAAGTGCAGATCCTCACGAATCAATAATACCTCAAGTATGTATTATTATTTCAATTGAAAAATTTTGCAATTTTAGCTGTACTTAAAACATATTACCTGTAAAATGTGACTTTT